CCAAAATCTTATTGAGTAAATGTGAGACTGTTTTTTATTTTAATATTCAGGGTGCCTCGTGAGGATTTACCCATTGCGATATCTCTCGAAATAATATTGATATCAAATTCTGGTTTGGTAATAAAACTCACAAGGATAAGAACTAAAATTGTTTCATATTTTAATGTTTTGGTAAAAAGTTAAAAAATATATTTTTATATTTAATTATTTCCAAAAAAATTAAAGATAGCCATTTTGTGTAGTTTATTTTTCTGAAAATATTGACGTTTCAAAATTTTATATTCATTAATTTTCGATTTTTAATATTTTTTTTTGGTTTGAGAAAAATTGCGAATTATTTATCACCATAATGTTATCATTGTTATCAAACATGTGACCCGCCGCGACGCTCGCATTCCGATACGACCGGCCGAATACTCTCAGTGTTCATAATAGTTATAAATTTATAATCATATTTTATTTCATCAAAACTAGAAAAAATATTAAAAATCAGGAAATTAATGAAAATAAAATTTTGAAACGTCAATATTTTCAGAAAAATAAACTCAACAAAATGGCTATCTTTAATTTTTTTGGAAATAATTAAATAAAAAATATATTTATTAACTTTTTTACCCAAACATTAAAATAAATTAAAAAATGAAATAATTGTATTTAATATCCCCGTGAATCTTATTATAAAACCAGAATTTTGATATCTCCATTATTTTGTGAGATATCGCAATGGGTAAATCCTCGCAGGACAGCCTGTAGATTGAGTGATAAAACCAAAATTACATTTTTTATAAGCACAGTTTATTCTGATTAAGCTGAATAAGCTCCATTTCATACAGCAAACAAATGGATTATATAGAAATATATCATAAAATATGCATTTCTCACGTTTTTGTAGTAAAAATATGCATTTAATGCAAAATATACAMTAACATGAAAAAAAAAAAATACCACCATCTACCCTGTTATGAGCTAATATGTGAACATTATAGCAGAGGTTTCCAAACTTTTTTGTCTCATGGCGCCYTTTTTTGGAATAAGAGGTTTACATGGTGCCCCTCATAAAAAATAATAAAAAAGTCAGAACAATTTGTAATATATATTATGAAAATATTTATTTAATTGTAATTATACGTATGTTATAAGACATTAGTTATATTAAGATTTAGGTATTTACTTTTTTGTATATATTAAATTAATGGGATAATTGATAACATTCCTTAATGGTTCTCATCTTAATCGTATATTTCTTGTTAAAGACTTAAGTAATACCGCCAATTTCACATCTAGCTCTTGCCTCCGTATACTGTATTTCGCCTTAGTTCGCTCTGTTTTAGAGTATGGAGTTGTGATATGGCACCCATACCTAGCGCGCAATGAACTGAGACTAGAGCGAATACAAAACAGATTTTTATCCTATGCTGCCTTCAAATTAAAAATTAAACATCCCATTCATGATTACTCACTCATTTCCTCTAATCTACGAATCCCATCTTTAGCCTCTCGCCGCACAGGGGCTGACCATCATTTCATCTCTTCACTTCTTGARGGATCTCTAGATTTTCCTGAATTGCTCTCTTCTATCTCTTTCCGTGTTCCGTCTCACTCTACTAGAAATCATTCCCTTTATCAATTACCTCACCACCGCACTTCCTATGGATTCAACCACCCACTCCACAGAATGTTACGCAGCCTCAACTCAACCTAGTCTTCCACATTTTTACCAGATATTTATTTCATATATTATACTATAGTTTTTTTTTCTCTTTGTTTTTGTTATAATTAATTTTACCAACAAATATTGTATTAAATTAATGCCTGTCGCGGCGTAGATCAATAAATAAATAAATAACATTCTACAGCARCGCGGRGCCCCTGTAAAGACACTATGAYGCTTTGGGAACCGCTGCATTATAGTATTATGCTATACCCACATGTATATTTAATTTTTGCTTTGATCAACAATTTTTAATATTTAACATATTGTATGCCAAGTGACAACTAGTGGTTACTTATAGATTGCAATCCTTAAATTATATATWTTTTTAACTATCGAKGCTCATATATTATAACTATTATATCACATCATGATCGCCAGCAACCGAAAATGAATATGTATTTAAATTATTATAATAATTTTTCTAAGGCACTATAATAATATGATAAGCAACTTACAATTTTTCTAATGCAATAAATATATTTTTTTTAAATAAAATAATTTATATAAATTACGAATAATTAGTCTATCATGTAACTGCCAGCAATCACATGATACTCAATATGTTAAAAGGATGTCAAACTACATGTGAATTCTTCATAATACAAATGTACAAAATTGAACAATATGCATTCAGCATGACCAATTTTGCTTTTAGCTAAAATATTTAAGTAAATAACGATTTTGTATCAAACTTCAATGAAAGATAATTTTTTAGGCTCTTATCAATGTCTTTATTTTAGAGTTATAACTATGTAAAATATTACAATAACAAAATTTTCAGGACTCAATTAAAAACTTGTTTAAGTGTTCAATTCACTCCAATATTAAACCTAATCTACTTGCGGGTTCAATATTATCTTTATGATATTTATGGTTAAACATATGAAATAAATTTAAATAGAATATGTCTCTTAATAAGCTACTATATTAGTATGAATACTTACATCATCATCATATATTTCATCATTTAAACTGCCAAAAGTATTAATTTTTTGTGTAACTCTTTCAACAAGATCTAAAAATAAGTGACGATACCTAGAATATATACAATTATTAATCATTATTAAATTATTTACTAAAAATATAGTTATATTCAGTCAGTAAATATTTTTAAACTACCTCTTTTAGTGCTTAATTATTATTTAGTATTTATATTTTTATCTCTGTTCTAATATTTTTTTTTTAATTTTTGTTATCATGTGAAATYGGGACTCCTGAAATTTGTGGCTCAAAGAATATTGATTTATTCCACGAATATTATTCAAATTATTTTTTTTAGTAGTTTGGATTTTAATAATCCTGAGGTTCATGTTAAAAGTATTTTACTATATTATAAAAACTAACAATGCATAGCATACATAACAGCTGGGTCACTTATATGTTTAAACATGTATATACAATATACATCCATAGCACTGAAAGAGGTAAATAGGTATTGTTTAGCTCATATAATATTCATGAAAAATTATAGAAGTTCTTGTTGCTAAAAAAAATCATTAATTTGTATACAATATAATTTATAATTACTTTTCAACACATCCAGGACGATCAGACAATGCTTCAAAAATACTACACCAAATATCCAAACATTGATAATAACAATCTAAACCATTTTGCCGGAATGTAAATTGCAACAGTAATTCTAAGAATTCACCATTACTAAAATGATTATCAAGATAGTTCCAATATTTTCTAATGACTACAGATAGCATTTCAATGATTATAATCATATAACTGAAAAAATTTAAAGTAATTAGATAGGTTTTAAACAGAAGTTATGTAATATATTATATCGGTAACTTACGCTTCACTCACAAAACCAATTTCAGGAACAGCAATAATATTTTCAACTAAACGGAATGTATAAAGACATAATTCAGACAAAATGAAATATCTATCTTCTGTTTGAGTATATGATTTACTAAGAACTTCATTGAATATAGTCAAAGTGTTAATGGATGTAGCATTCTAAACAATAATATGGATGTTTCATATTACTAATTTCTTTAATTTTATAATTATATAAATGATACCTCTTTTTTTCCTAAGGGCATCAAGACATGTAACAAATCAGGAGTCAGGTGCTTTTCAAATGGAAGCCACGTAAACATATCAGAAAATACTTTTGTTACTGCTTCATATATTTCATCTGAATTTGAAGTTTTATGGGCATTTTTTAAAATATCTGAAAACAGTGTAATATTAACAATAATTATTTCCAATAAGTACTGGTATAATAATTATTAAACAAATAATGCTACAGTATTAAAACTTTTTCYAGTATCTTTGTTATGTAGAAGTAGAAAATCAAGGCATTGTGTACCCAAATATTTTGGGCAATGTAAGAGTCATCATTGAAATACTCAAACTGTTCATATATTAAACAGGCATTGTTCTAGATTGTCCAAATAAAGAGTACCCTGCCTAGATTCCATTAGGCAAAGTAAATTAAATATAGTGCACTGCATAAATTTATATCAAATTGTATTTATATGCAACAATACCAATACAAAACTAAACTTAGATTTTTTATTCTTACACGACAATGTAACAGCTGCAGATAATATGAAACAGATCTGTAATCTTAATTATTAAGTGATCACATAGTATATTACATGATAAAGCTATCTAGATATATCAAAATGGAATAAAAAAACTCCTATACAATATTTTCTAATGATTATTATCATCCAGACGGCAGACGTCGCATAGTCTTTTATGAGTTAAGAGGCCGTCAATACACCATCATATTCACATGTGTTATCTCAGTCTTACAAGTGCATAACATAAAAAATTTACACTCAGTAGATCACATTTAGTTCAGCTCCATTAGTTTAAAAATTAAAGTGAATTTGAACTCTTATAAGGTATTATTTGTGTTAATATTTTGTATATCTACTTTAAAATCACAGGAAGACTTAGAAACAGCTCTAGGTTGTGAAACTGTCATTGAAAACATAAATGAGAAAGACAAAAAAGGTAATGTAAGTGATAAAGACAGTAAAAACAACTTTTTAAGTAGGTACCTACTCAGTAAGATGTTTTATTTAGTTCTTAATATATTTAATCTGCAGTGCCCAATTAGATTTGGGCACTGATACAATGCCTGGGTAATGTATATTCCTACTTTGACTGTAAAATCTATACTAATAAAATGCATAAATTAACATTATATAATAATGTAATAGTATAATATAATTATTTCACAAAACAAACAAAATAATAATTTTACCTGAAAGTATTTCAAACAATTTAGGAATGTGCTTCAAAAAATTTACTTTCAGTTCATGTTTTCTTTTGCCTAAAAGATCTTCTTTGGGGCTAATAAATTCTTCGGATGACAAAAGTAAAAATGATAAACCCAAAAGTACTTGTTCAGGATTAACGAGTAACTATGTGAATTACAGATATAATTAATATTTTAATAACTTATTTATGTTTTGTTTAAATTAATAAAGCTATTACTTGTGTAATATGATCAATGAAATTAGGATAACGCAAAGGCCAATCATTACGTGCTATATCGACTAATAACTTGATCATTTTGCTGATCATGTATTTAGGATATTCATTGTGTTTCATCACAATATGGTTAAAAATTGCTTCCCTCAATGTTTCTTGTGATTTGAAAGTCATTTTTTCCCATTTCTTATTGATAATCATCTATTTATCAAACAACACATGATAAATATTACATTTTTTTGAAGCTGTAGTCAGTAAAAAAAAAACTTAATATCTTACCTCCATAATGTTCAGACTGAACATTAACAAATATTGGTTTTTACTGTTCTCCAGGTTGTAACAACACTGCACCCAACATTTGTCTCGCTCGCCAAATTTGTCAAATTCTTCTTGCATACACAGTTTTACGGCATTACTGGAATTTGCATCATAGAACTCTGTCAACATCATCTCATAGTTTTTCATTTCGTGTTCRTAGACCTAAAAAAAACACGAAAAAATAATATTCAATCACATTATTAAACTCGCTCCTGCATATCATACGTATACGATATACTTACTACCATGTCTTGACCGTTCATAATGATGGTTATTGTTTAAAGTGACAGTTAAAACTTCTAAACGATCAGGGAAACAATTTGTTTGGCCAACGATTCCCGTGCATTTGACGATCGACCGGCGGCGTCAGATTTTATAATTATTAACGAGGATGAGACGCTTACTAGAGTACATAATTTACAATTCACATGATCGCAAGCCTTCAGAAACCATACCGTTAAATAATAATTAATACAGTCAGTAAATAGTACGCAGAAAGCTCAAAGCAGTAAGCACAATGAAAATTGTAATTTAGTATTTTTAATTTGTAACAAAATTAAAAACATTTTCGAACGTTATCTGAGTTGCTATCAGATCAGTGTAACCAACAGCAAGACTGTGTGATTTGTTATTGTCATTGAAATGCTTATCCATAGGCACAGAACAATACTATAGGATAGACCTTAATACCTTATACTTAATATTAATACCTTATATTAATATTATATTAATATTATATTTTATACTTATATTAATATTAATATTAATACCTTATACTTAATACCTTATTCTATTCTGTGCTTATACATATTAATTATAATATTATGACGTATGTCCCTTTCCGTGTTCCGTCCCTAAACATATATTTCCATACATAGATAAAATAATGAATACTTATAGGTGCTAACCACTAATTATGATTTTATGATATAAATATATATAATATATAGTATATTATACTAAGTGATTTTTAAACATGCCCATCCCCACTTTTCTTAAAGAGTGTCATGTGGAGACACAAACTTTTATTTTTCAAATTAGAACCCCCCTTTTTAATGTAAATTATTTAGTGGGTGATTTTAGTCTTAGACAATTAGTTTCTGAATTATTAAAATGTTACTGAAGATAATTATCCTTAAATATAGTTTTCAAAAATATAAACTATATAACTATATGTTATATTACATAGGTATAGTATTCATTAGTATCATTACACTTAGATCATTTTTATYGATAGATAATATTATATTATGACATTATTATAACATATTCATATTCAAATCATCTAACATCTAAGCCTCATATCTACTTAACCCATTACCATAGTCCATAGACATATAATGTCATAATATCATTATAGTAGTTACACATATATAGTCAGTGTTGGGTAAATTACTTTTAAAAAGTAATAAAGTTACTTTATTCGTTACTCTAATAAAATTATAATGAAATTACTTTACTTTTCAAATTGAAAAGTAACTCATTACTTTCTCGTTTCAAAAGAAAAAAAAAAWTTTTATATTCCTTAACAATATTATCATTGTGTCTGGCAATAATGTTACCTATAGTAAATWGATATAATTTGAAAAAGAAATCAATAGGTATACTATAATCAATATAATACAATATTATTGTTTTATATTTATTTATGTTTTAAATTAACATAGTGTATCTTCAAAATTTTTGTCACTCATACGCGACCTTTTTTTAGAACAAATGTCCCCTGAAACACTAAATAATCGCTCTACAGAAGCACTGAATGGTAAAGCTGTGTTGTATTTAATAAAAATATTCTTTACTAATGTCATTGAATTCAAAATATTGTGAGATCAGCTGTATAAGGAGCTTTAATAAATATATATATATTATATTGCTATACTAGATTGGTAAACATAATAATATTCGCATCATAGACATATTTTTGTTTTCAATTCACAGATGTAGGTACTTAATAATTCGAAACTGTAACGCGTTATTCAATAGAAATTACTTATCAAAAGTAATTTCCATTACATTTTCGTTACTTGGAAATAATTCTAATGAAATTACGTGACGCGTTACAAGCAAAGTAACGCCGTTACAGTAACGCGTTACTTTCGTTACGTTACTACCCAACAAAGCATATAGTTATATATAGTTATATATTATGTAACTTGAAGATTAATGTTTCAAATTATAATTAACATACATCAAAATTCTCAACCAAAATAAATATATCGACTGATTAATTAAAAGTTAAAAAGTAGTGTTCCTATTAGAAAAAACAGAAGTTTTGTATTGCTACAGCATCGTCCTTAAGTGGTACAAAAAAATCTCAAATATTCTAAAATATAGTTATCAAGTATGTWATAAATTCCAAAAATCAGCAGCGGAAAAAATGACCACGGAAAAAAAACCAAAAATTAAAAATCCCACGGAAATAAAAGTGTGTTTTATATTATTTTGTTGATTAGGTAACTCAAATACCTATCATAATACAATCACATAGTTGTTTTATTTTGTGATAAAACAGTACATAATATTCAAACTATAAACATAATAATTAACAAATGTGTAATAAAACATAATTGGGTGTATTGTGATTCCATTCCCCTTGTATAAAACCATTGTAATATAAGATTAAACTTGAACAAATAATAAATACTCATATTATATTCCAAACTTATATTTATATAATTATATAATTTCCCAAAGTGCCTTCGCTGGTTGGTTCTTCCCTCAAGATACTACATGTATTATATATAATAATTAATAATAAAAAAAAAACATCATTTATGCTTATTGTACTTTTTTTTTATTTGCAGATTGTATAAACTAGATTAAAAATAAAAAAATATTATATAATAATTATATATATTAAATATAAATGTATTAACATTTATTTTTAATTTTAATTTTTTCGAAGGGTTTTTTTCTGTGGGCTATTGTTCCATGGGCTTTTTTTCTTTAGGTTTTTTTCCGTGGGCATTTTTTCCGCGATTCCCAAAAATCATAATTATTAAGAATAAAAATAGGGTGAGCTTATTTAATTCTAAATCTAGCGTACTAAATCCCAGCATAATTAATAAAGTATGCTGGCGGAGGAGTAACTAAAGAACTTGGAAATATATGTAACGAAATGCACCTAAACGGGAAAATAATCAATGATTTCAGGAATGGCATTATAGTAACAATTCCCTAGAAAAAGGGAACATTTATGAATTGTAAGGAATATAGAACTATAATCCTCAACTCGTATACTTCAAAAATAATAAAAAGTGTAATAAAGAATAGAACAGAAAAGGCGATAGATACAATCCTAGGGCCCAAACCGATTTGGTTTCAGGCAAAATATAGGGGGGAATTAGTATATAATTACCCGTTTTCGCCAAAATTTGAATTGACGATTCCGCCATCGCCCGTTTCCACCAATCTACCTGCTATGGAATAGTAATTATTATTATTTATAGTTCATAAATTTTAAGTGTTTTGGTTCATCGTGGATCGTAAAAATATTTTAATTAATTTAAATTCACTAAAACTACGTACACATGATGCGGTATACTACAATATTGTAAAGAAATGTTAAATACAAATGAGCGATAAGCGATAGTTGTACTCATTAATCTATGATAGTGTCGATTTTAAATGCACACATACATACTCTATAAAATATATATTTATTACTTAAATATGGAATCATTGTATATAAATCGATAAGATTGAAACTACAGATAAGAACATTTTTTACTCCATAAAACTAATGAGAGGTGACCTCGGCACTAAGGATAATGGTTGAAAAACAGATTAGATGGAACAAAGAAACCTTCATCGCGACATCGATTTTGTAGATCTGGATAAACCTTTTGACAATGTACAATAGAAGAAATTATTTGGAACAGAGACGTATTCAGAAATTTGGCGCCCGGGTGCCAATGTTTTTCCGCCCCCCCCCCAATCTTTATAAATTAATCACATTTAAATATTTAATATAAAATAGGTTTACTATAATTACAAAACAATAAATATTTAAAATTCAAATATTTTTCATTTTCATTTTCATTAACAGAAGATAGGTTATGTAAAAATCTAATGCCGCCCCTATAAAAATGCCGCCCGGGGCGATCGCCCCCTCAAGCTCCCCCCCCTAAATACGTCACTGATTTGGAATCTTAAAAACAATAAGAATTAATTACAACGATAGAACTGAATGAACGTTTAATTTATAATATATACCAAAGCCAAACACAGTCTTAATACAAATAGATGAGATAAAACAAGAAACAAAAATAAAAAAAAGGAGTAAGRCAGGGGTGTATCTTGTCGCCGATGTTGTTATATATATGTACATTAAAGAGGCAATGAAAGAATTGAGAACATAAATAAAGAAAGGAATGCAAGTAGGAAGAACAATTAAGGGTTACTGCCTCTGCCTTGAGATTTGCGGACGACATAGCTTTCTGYGCGGAAAATGAAGACTGAAGACCACGTACAAAACACCCTAATAACAATAGATATAGAATACTAAAAAATAAGTATGGAATGCAACTGAATAAAAAGTAAACAAAAGTTATGTTATGCAGCAAAGCTAATCCGGTTCGACTTAATATATAAATATAGATAATGAACAAATAAATAAGCAAGTATAGCAATATTCACATACTTAAGAAGCAATATAACAGAGGATGGCCGCTGCAAACATAATC